GTCAATCACAAGAGGATCCATGGGCAAAAAGTTATAATTAGGGTACACAGGGTGGGAGCAATCATCATCTACACAAAACGCTTTTACAAAAATGTCATTTAAGATGGAGGCACACTGGTCATTTGGAATAACAACACCATTATTAGTGAGCGATATATCGTTTGTTTTGTTTCTATTCATAATACGCCAGAACTGTTTAGGACTGGTCAGTAACATGGAGGGTAAGGTCACATTAAAAAAATGTTAGTTTAGCGTCCTTGATAGCTAGTTTATACGCATCCTCAGCTGCATGATAGATTTCCCAACGTGCGTCACTACAAGAAAGCTTTGTAGAACGAAACAAACGTTTCTTTTTGTTGTTAAGGCGCTTAAGTGTTACATTAAACCATGGAGACAAAGAATTTGTTTTAATGGACCTATATGGAATGAATAAGTTAATTAGAGATACTAATTTATTTTTAAATATTGACCAATTGCTTTCAACTGAGCGTTCAGAAAAATTAGGAAGGAATTCGTCAAGGAAGCCAGCTAATTCGTTATTTATAGCCCCAAAATTCGCTTTACTATAGTCAAAGAAATGTCTTGTTGACTTACTAGCGTCAGACACCGGTGTAAGTAACGAGAAATGTAAAATGGAGTGATCGCTAATACCCGGTAAGTAGGATATCGAAGAGGCAAGGTTAGGGTCAGAAGATAAAATGAAATCTAGTACAGTGGCCGAAGACACAGTGACTCGAGTAGGTTCAGCAACAAGTTGTGTGAACGAAAAATCCAAGCAAAGATTGAGGAATTCAGAGTAAATTGCAGAATTACAAGTGGTAGTTGGGAATGCTCCTGACCAGTCGATTAGGGGCAAATTGAAATCGCCAAGTAAAAATAAAGGTGCTAAAGGAAACCTAGATGTAATTGTGCATAACGCATCATGCAAGGCAGAACAAAAATTTGTGGACGCATTCGGCGGACGATAACAGGCACACAAAATAACATTTCTATGAGCAGAGATTAAACGCACGCACACCAGTTCAAGCTGGGTGTTAACGCCTACTTGGTAACATTCAAGATTTATATTCACTGCGATTAGGACCCCACCCCCCCGCCTATCAGTTCGGTCACAACGATAAAACCTATAACTCTGAACACAATCAAAAATTTCGTCATCGCGAATAACACTCGAAAGCCAAGTTTCTGTAAGAATAACAACGTCACCCGACGCCGCGTCAATGACGGAGGACAAGTCATCGCGGTTGCAGACAATACTTCTTATGTTTGTAAACAAAACTGAAATATTTTTTGAAAAAGATTGGGAACGAAATGGTTTCTTTATCGCGACATTTTTTAACTTCAAAGTGGCAGAACTGTTGACGCAGTGTTCGATTCGTTTGGGCTGCCCTCACAGATTTGGTTACTCTCGTAATTGAAAATAAATAGTTTATTCCCCAAATGTAATCTGTCAACGCGAAGTTTGTAGAGGCCTCCCTGGGCTCGGGCGAACTGTAGAAGCATTTTTCTGGCGAATTGAACATTCTTTGGGTAATCTTCGCTAACCGACACGTTGGTGTCTTTTAGCTTGGAGCATGATCTCAGCACAGCTTCTTGGTGTTTAAAAAAAGAAAATTTTACGATAATAGGTCGGTTTTTATTGGGATGAAACCTGCCGATTCGATGGGCCCTTTCAATCGTATCAGGGGTAATCTGTATGCCTAGTTTATCACTGCATACGTCGAGAACTAGTTTTTCAGATTCCGCCCACGATTCCCTAGCAGTGTCTTGAAGCCCAAAAAAAAGTAAGTTTGATCATCGGGAACGACTCTCGGCATCATCAGAGCGCCGTTTCAAAAGCGCTATCTCGGAAAGAAGGCATTCAACCTTCGTTTCGATTTCAGTCGCCGCGTTTGCTTTGGATTTGCAGATTGCAAGATCAGTTTCAATAGTCGTCACACGCGTTGTTAAAGCAGATAATGAGTCACTTGTGCGTTTTTGCTCGTCAGTAATTTCTTTTAGTTGTACCACGACATCTGCCTGACCTTCATGTAATTGAGTAACAAAAGTTTCATTCCTAGCTGGAGTCTGAGCCTGTGCTACGGTCATGGGACCAGGGTTACGTTCAACGTCGCCGCTTAGAAGCAATATCAGGTCTAAAAAACGCTTTAGGCACATCCGTGGGCACGGCAGGACAATAAGACAAGGATTGTTACACCTAATTGAACAGGGTAGGTCATTTCTACTCACCTGCACAATGAACAGAAGTGGGATGTTAGGTGTCATGTTGGTAGCCTGGATGCCGTGCCCACTGATTGACGACAGCCTACCAGAAGCCGAAAATAATCCTTTAGCAGTGGTAGCGAGAAACAGTTTTAATAAGTGCGTAAGTCCTATATGTAGTAACTCTTCGTGATTGAAAATAAGGTGCACGTGATGTTTCGATCGTGATCATGCAAAAATACGTAAGAAACGAATGTGCCGCTCGAACTCTGTTTTGCTGAGATGGAGTCTAATCGCTGGTATGGCAGATTTCCGGCTCTAGGCACATGGCATACGGATCACGTCGATCGTTCTGCTAGATTTTGATTTTGCATGGCCGTGATCGACAATTCAGTTGCACCATATTTTCCGTTACTCGAACGCACTTGTTAATTTTGTTTCTCGCTACCACTGCCAGGATATTATTCCCGACTTCTGGCAGGCCACATTCGATTTTGTGAAGACGCCCTTGAACACGCCCGGCCCGCTTTCGGCCGATGGCGCCTCCTATACTTCCCAATGAATGGCCCAACTTTATCTATGCATGGCTTTGCTTGTGTTTGACGAGTCTAGAGCTCCAAGAAGATAGATACCTGCATGCAGCACCCAAAAGCTCTGAGTTGAGTCACAGCGTTTACAACACAAAGGCTTTTGATGCCATTCGCCCACTGTAACAATTGCGGTGCTATGCTACGCTTCGCTTCCGATAAGAGTAGTTGGTGCGGCGCGATATTCAGTGATGTGATTGCTGCGCCAATTGCGCCAAACTGCGCCAAGGGGCAAACCCTGCCACATCCTGCTACATTTTGCCAAAATGTAGGTAATCTGCGCCAAGCCTGCGCCAAAGAAGCAATTTCGGTCGCCTTTCAAAACCGAAACTAAACTGAGAACCGTAATTGCGCATGCGTCAGCTAGGTGGCACAAGCGGCCGCTTGACAGAAAGTACCCTGTATCAATCGTCCACCCGGTCTTGCATATTTTTTTCCCGCCGTCCTAACCTCCTTGCCGCCGTATCGTGTTTCGCGCCGTCGTGCCCGGCGTTGCTCGTGTCCTGGTCCCTCGTCGTCTTGAAAATCTCGTCTCGCGTCTTTCTTTAATTTTTTCAACGATAGACGCGGGCGTGTGCGGACGCCCCGACGCTAGTGCGCCTGGTGCCAGCCATGCCGTCATGCTGTGAAACAAAACCACGTTTTCGCGCGGCGGGATGTACTTTGTGAGCTGAAGCACCCGGTCCTGAAAGCAACGGCCGTGGGAAAACTGTGTTCGGTTCCTGCCTTCCAGTCACCGTGGTCGCACGACGTCGGGTATTGCCGTCCCCACGTCGCTGCAGATATGGCGCTTTCTAAACTTGTTCATCGACATTCCTGGCCTTCTTTAAATCATACTCTACTACAAAAAAAAAACTCTAACTCAATAACTGCTTGTCGAAATATTGATTACCTAGGTTTCTCTCGGTGAACTTCCTTTTGAGAGGGAGCCTGGTACGTGAAAAATCTGCCGCGAAAGAAAGTTGGTGAAGAGAAGTGAGCTAAAACAAAGAAGGCAATGTCTGCACGTTGAACTCGCATAGTGCGCTTGTTTGCTTCGAGTTTGGTCGTTGCACGAAGCGCTCCAAAAACTTTTTGACCCTGGCTCGTGATGTCATGCATCGATGCGCTCAGGCTTTTTTTTCCCCCCCTGTGTATTTAGCTTGTACATCACCTGGCGGCCTGGCAAGCACAGGCCGCTCGACTGCTTTTTTTGTTTTTTTGTATGCTGGACAGTTACATTTTGCACACTATTTTGGGAACCAGTTGGCGACGGAGGGGTGTGGCATTGTTTTGGTTTCGATTGAACAGCCGTTGTCTCCGCCCACGCAACGAAGCACGTGCCACTGCAAGCCTACTGAAGTTGCCCTCACGTGCGTGTGAACATGACTGCATGACAGAGGCGCCAGCCGGGACGCCTGCAATTCATATTTTTGCGTTTGCTTACTTTTGACAAAAATCTGGCACGTCGGGAACCAGTAAAACGGTGGCAAGTGTTCTTTTCGGAATAGCTCGGCAGCGCCTATAACACTGTGCACTTGTGGGATGTCTCAGCAGTAAAACACAGAAAAAAAATCTTTTTATTTTTCTAAGAATCTCTGCTCCAAAAGCCACTTCTGCTGCTCCGAAACGCTGTTTGGGCTGCTCCAACAGCCACTTTTGCTGCTCCAAAACACTGTTTTGGCTGCTCCAAAAGGTGCTCCAAAATGGCTTAGGCCAATCATATCACTGGATATTGCATTTCTTTCTTTTTGTCCGTCCCTGATTGGATGCAGGATCCTTAAAAGCGAGCTTGCTTTTGTAATAAACACAGATCGTTCTTCCAGCAGAGAAACAGTCTGTCTGTTCCTTCGGCAGCCGTTCCGTCGTCAAACCGCCGGAAACGTAACACCACACTGTCTTAAGGCCCGTTCGCACATCTGCGCACACACCCAGACGAAGGAACACACTGGCACACTGGCACCACCTATGACGCTACCCTGGAACTGCATTTCGCTAGAGCGAAGGTTTTACGGTATTTGGGAGATAAAATGCTAGTACTATCTATGAAAATTGGTCGTTCATAACATTATTACAAGTTTTTCAAATCAAGAAAAAATGAGGCACGAAAAAAAAGAAGTAAATTTCTAGAAACTGCCAGCGTTCCACGGCCACCCGATATATACAGTGCTCTTCTTCGTAAGAGGTTTGAAGGCACACGATCGTAAGCGGTTGCCTCTACACTTTGTCCAGCTGAAGGAGCACAAGCGCATCAAGGAGGCCGGCGGCTTCATCACCTTCAACGGCGTGTGGCGCGTGGCCGGCGTGCTGGCCACCTCCCGCGCCCTCGGCGACTTCCCGCTCAAGGACCGCCGCCTGGTGGTGGCCCAGCCGGACGTTCTCACCTTCAACCTGGCCGACCTGGGCGCCACCTTCATGGTGCTCGCCTCGGACGGGCTCTGGGACGCGCTGAGCAACGACGACGCCGTGGCCTTCGCCGCACCGCACCTCGACGAGCCCCTGTGCGGAGCGCGGAGCCTCGTCAACAGGGCGTACGACATCGGCTCCCTGGACAACATCAGCGCGCTCGTTGTTGACCTCCGTGCCGTCGTCGGCGATTCGGGGCAGGGCGACGGCAGGACTCATGTCGTTGGAGAGTGAACTTGGGTTTCGGCAAACGACGCGTCGTTTGGTGTAATCATCGGGTTTGTACGCGCACGTCTTCTGGGCTGCGGCATTTGAAGAAGTGATTTGTTGCCGCTGCCGTCAGCTCGTGCAATCAGCGCGTCGTTTTGATCTTGTCGTCAGGTTTGGTACGAGAGTCCTCTGGCTTGTGGTATCTGGAGAAGCGCGTCGTCGCCTCCGTGCCAGTCAGGTTTAGAATTTGGAAGACATTGTTGCTGGCACCGAAGGGGCGATCTGAACATGCTGCATTTGCCTGTCGTCAAGCTCACGCAGGCACCGAGGTAAATTGCCTTATGACTCATTCATCTTGCCGTCGTGTGGTGGGCGTGTTCCTGTTCGTTTTGTGTTATAGACCACACTGTAAATGGCTGTGGGCATCACTCGACGGCTTGGTTCACGTTCCGGTTTGATTGTCGACCACGTTGCAGGTGCCAAACCTCTCAGAAATTTGTTTTGGCAGCTCCTGTGAAGATGGGGGGGGGGGGGTGCCAGAAAACTATTGAAATTTATTTCGGAGATACTGGCATTGCTACGATGCACCGCGAAGGTTACCTTTCCCAACTGTTGCCATGCGCTCGTACAGATCAATTGACGTTTTGCTTTAAGAGGCGCTTGCAAGGTCTTATCGAGATGTGCACCTGCCTTTGCCTTTTTGCATAAACAGAATTTGGAGGTCAGGTGACATGCTCTATCTCAACAGACGTCATTCGTGGTTTAGAGTTGGCGTTGTTTGCAGATTCAGTTTGTTTCGTGGAAAGAGCAGAGTTTGGTTTGCAAAACTGTATATAGGCAACATCCTGGTGAACAACACTGGTTCCTATTTTTGTTTTGTTATGTATAATATTCGGAGCAGGACACTAGTGACTTTGCAAGTGCAGTTTATTTTGCCTGGTATACCTGTTTTGTTTTTTTCTTGAATTGTACATAGCAGAGGAATTAGACAGTTCCTGCTTTTGTGTTGTGTGTAATAGTCCTGTGTAGAGAGTTGATTTTTTTTTTTTTTTTCACATTGTTTCTTTAGAAATAAAGTAAATCAAGCATTGTGGTACAAACTATGCATAACTATATCTTAGGCTCGAAGCCCTGGTTGTCTCTGAAAGGTCAATCTTGAAGCAATTAATTTTTTTTTGTGGTGAATGATGTGTAATCTAAAGGTTTCCTTACTGCAGGAATCCATCATCTTTTAAATGTATGATTTGAGAGTTTTGTCTAAAAGAATGCACGCACTACCAGATCTTGGGCAAGGAAGCCGGATCCTGTTGGCTTCCGATGTTAGTCTTCCTAAAAGGCTACTTGTGTGCTCATTGGGGATTATCTGAGGCTTTTTCCTTCGAAAAGCCCCTTCCCCTTTTCTTTTGACAACCACAAAAAAAAAAAAAGAAGAGAACCATACTCTTCAACCCCTAACTAGAAAAATAGTGGATTGAATTGTATTCTTACAACTTAGAATGTGCATTGAATGCTAGCATGAACATTAGTGCTTTTTTACATTTTAAACGGGCAGTCTATTGATTAGCACCACTCTTAACTGCTTATGCTGGTGCCCCAAACAAGCCCTAGCCACCACACTATAGTAGTTTCGACAAGAACTAAAAAAACGGGAGAAACTGTCAATGGGATTGTTCTTATTAATAGTGTTGCGCTGTGTAACATAATTTATGGCACTTGTACTAGCTTTAGTAGTATGAGCTGAGGTTCTTGGCTTCACTAGTACTAATTTATTTATGATTACCCGCAGCACCTTATTGGTAGTTGACCGTTATGTTCACATGCTAGCTTTGTTTTGCACAAAGCAGCACATACTGTTTATATTTAAGAGCAAGAAGCAAATTGAGTGCTTGTCATGAAACAAACGAGTTGTTTTGTTAATCGTTTGGCAATTTGGATATGATGGTGTTTGTTTCTGTCACGCTGCACAAACTAGAAGCGCTTGCTGCACGGCGAAAAACTTTGTTGTCACGGACATCTTGCCTCGTGAGAGTTTAAGCAAGAAAAAAAGCACTGTTTTTGGAGTTGCATGCTCTCAAGTTTGAGCTGAATTTAAGTACTGCTATTGTTGCTGAGGGCCTTTGGGACCTGTGAGGTCATTGTTAGGACCATTCCTTGTGAACTGGACGTTAAGAATTTCCTGCAGTCTCCCATTTCCCCGAGTCAATTAAAGCTACAACTCCCACGTGTCTCAGATTCAAGAGAATCTTGTTCATGATAATCAAGTAATGTCTACTGTAGCTCTAGAAAACATAGCAAAATGCTTGGGTAGTGTTAAACATACTAGCATGATGTGAAGGCAATTTAGGTTAGGTCTCCTATGGCTGTGAGATGTGTGTCTCACAGTCAGTGTATTTTTACCAGTTTTTAGGCTGCATTCTTATTTTAGTAGGTTGTTTCATACTACAAAAGCATTGTTAGCAGAATGACATAAGATGTGGTATTTATAGTCCAGTGCCCTACTACCCCAGTTTGCTAGTAAATTTACATTACTTGTTGCAATATTTTTGGGACTTTTTTTTTACAGGCATACAATTTTACAAGCACTGTTAAATAGTAGTTGTAGACTAAAATTAAGCATTGTACATGTGCTAATAAGATCTAGCGAATGGGGTCCTAACCGCATGCACTTTAATTGCAAGATAAGAAATCAAATGGCCTCAGGCCAGTTTTTTCCTTTTAATTAGAACCATACTGCTTTAATTGCATGCAGTTTTGTTCAGCATGTTTTTGGCTAGAATATAATGAGTGGGCACAAGCATACAACTGTCTCATCAAAGTCTCTTACATGTGCAAGGTAGTTCTTTTCCTCTTTTTTTCCTTGCGTGCCCTGGCATTGCATCACTTATGTCTTTTTAACAGTACTTAGTGTGCTTTGGGTCACTTCATGGAACTCTTGTGCACCTTGTGAACCTACTCTGAAAGCCATCCAATGCGTTCTCATGTTGCCGTCCAGGGTCGCTTGATCAGAACCAGGTGGTGTTTGCAACAGACTGGTACGATCGGCAGATTTATTTATAATATTAGTCTGACCTCTGAAAACTATTAATATACCTTGCAAGTGTTTGTACACTCGTGCCGCCATCTGCACAACTCTCTCGCAGTTCTCGCGTTGTGGGAATTCGGGTTGGCGGCATGCAGTGCCACCGCTATTGATTGTTTGTTGTGCTGCGGCCGTTCGAGTACTTTGAATCTCGCGCGCGGCGTTGACTGCCTGGAAAGCGATGCCACCTGTTGCTCGTTCTATGTGCTTGGGAAATGCATTGTTAGTCGCAGCACGTGCGTTGTTGCATAGTTGTTCTTCGGCCATTTTTTGTGGTGAGCTCTCTTACTTTTCTTATACATTAGACTCGGTTTCTGCGGTGATGTTTCTGTTTTTGCGTAAGCTGGCCTCGTTGCTGGTAGCTCGTAACCCTCTAGTCTCTTTTACGCTATTTTTGGTCCTCAAGACTCGAGTTTACATTCTTTTACGGTAGGGAGATTACCACGTGCACCCACTGCTATTCATACATTAGCCATCGATCCGTTGCTAACTCTCAGCCGACACGCAACCATTCATGCCAAAGCCGCTAGTGCATTTCCAGGTGTGTGCAACCGTCACAGTTTGCCTTTCTCAACTGATTTTTTTTTGGAACTTGATCCTACTACTCAACTTGGGGGAGCTAACCTCACTGGCTGAGCGTGGCAGTTGTTTTGTCCTGCGAGAGGTATCTGATGTACACTTGTAAAGCGTCATTGAATGACAGGTTTACCGGTCATAAAGAGAAGTTTGGAACTTGTGACAACAATGCCTTTTGTGTTTTTCTAGCCTCCTGCGTCCCTCGTAGCGCCGCGTGCGCGAGCTGCGTGGTACATAACTCATGGCAACACTGAAATTACAGAATGAAATATGCCATCACCAGTTGCTTGGACTGTATTTGCTCAGATAATTGCCACAGCAGGAAACATTGAGGGATCCATCAATGTTCCCTGCCACCATCACGCCAGGTCTGTCAACCTGGTGCTCTAATCTCGACACTTGGCGAAAAAGTAGGAGAGAAATTTGACCGGCTAATCACGGTCGCCGGATTTCTAGTCAACTTTTTGCCAAGTGTCCAGGTTAGAACCTGTTGTGTGATGGCAGTCTTTGCTGTTTTTTTCTTTCAAGTACTGCACACCAAATGTGACACGTGTCGCAACAAAACAAGATAAAATTTTCTCAACAATGCACAGATGTTTGTACTCTGTGTCGTAGGGTGCAGGCAGTGGCACTGATTATGGGAGAGCACTCATGCAGATGCTTCAGCTTTTGCAAAGCTGGTTTTGGCACACCTGGTATTGGCAAGGAGATGGGGTGCTATGGGGTCTAGCTCATTTCCCCAGAGTTCTGTATTTACCAACGCAAGGCATGTGCACTGAATTCTTTACTTCGTCTTTATTGATTGAGCACGAGGCAAAAATTGGGCATAACTCGTGCCCAATTTTTTTCCCGTGCTCAGTCAAGAAAAATTAAGTCAAAAGTTCACTAGTGCTGCGTCTGCGTTCGGTTTCACGGATCGAACCCGAGCCCCTGCTGAATGCTGTGTCAAAACAAACAAATTGTCTGTGTTGTTGTCCCCATCATGGCATCCGAGATTTTTTTCAAACGCTCCAGCCTGTCCAAACGCTCGGCTGCCCAGCAGACAAAGCAAGCCGAGCCAGTTCGCTAGATCTCCACATGCGGCGCTTATAACCAAACCAGAAACAGCTGGAGCACAGGGGTATGTGTGTCAAAGATATTTGGTGGGTGAAGAGAGGTGCAAAGCCAGGTGCTGACACCAAGCAACAAAAGGAGGAAGTAGTAAGTGGCACACACAAGTATGTGTGCCAAAAGGCTTTGATGGGTGAAATAAGGTGCAAGGCCAGTTGATGCTAAACCACAGAGAAGTGCACTCCAGTGTTAAGATCTGGCAAGGATAGGCTAAAGTCGCTGGGTCCTGGGAAAGTAACGCCAAGCTCCCTCCATGGTCGCCATTTTCGTCCGTGAAATGAGCGATTTCTCCTTAACCCCTCCGTTCTTGGTGAGCCGATCTATATCTGCTGGTGACTGTTAGATTTATGGAGATGTCTTTTGGATACCGAGATTTTGCTATCCACACGACGACGAAACATGCGTACATCGTACCACCACCGCATGCTGTGTCGGTGCTTGGAGACACTAAAAAATAAGTTTACTGTTTTAAAATGCGCAAGAACAATATAGTTCTAAGAGATCCGTGGATATGGGCACGATTGATAAGTTGATTGCATACACAGTGCCAAGGACGCTTATATTGGCGAGGAACACTTTCAGTACGATGATGATCCATGGCAATCTTGGCGCAACTAGTTTAGAACAACCCTGTGGGAGCTTCGAAGATTTGAATGGACCGAGATGGCGATTTCCCTGGCAACGTAGACAAATTAGCCAATCGCCTTGAGAGTTTTTGGTCGTCTGTGTGTTAGTATCTGTTTGTGTCCGGCTAGCAGGTAGGGAAGGAAATGGCACTACTTTCCCAGGATCCAGTTACTTTAGGAAGGCCAATCGTGAGCTCAAGCGTTTAACTCGCTAGTGATCTAGCCAGTGTGAAGCACATAAATAGAGATTTCTGTCCACCCTGATTAGCTTAGCAAGTAGCAAGAGAATGCCGAGCGTTTCCGAGGAAAAGAAACTTGCTTTTAAACAAGATTCCGGAAAGCTTGTGTTCTGCCTGGCTGGTAAAAAAGTTCATTTTCAATCAAGGGGTGTTCCTCAGGTTCAGCGAGTGAGTTGAGACAAATATATGCCCTCTGATAAAGGTTGTCTATTCAGTTAACATTTTCAGAATATACCCCCGAGTCGATGAAGACTACATTATGAACAGAAGCTTTCAAAACAACGTACGCTAAAATCGGACATGCTGGGCAAGCTAAGCAACAAAACCAAGCTGACCCTCACTCCTAAATGTGAATTTCGAAAGCATCACTGTCTCCATATCCTGTCTTTCTCAGCAGGTAAGAAATCCATGACCATTCTGGGCACGCTGGGATACGATCGCATCATGCGCGCTCAAGACAAAAACGGCCGTTAGCTCTTGCAACGTCAAACCTTTTATTCCAAAAACATGGCAAGTACGAAACGAAACAGATCGGAGACAAGTCTTCAAATCTTTTGGAAGGCAGCAATGTCCACCGACTGAACAAAGTCGCCGAAGCCCTCAATCTGCTCCGTCAGCCAGTCGATGCTGACCTTGTCATCCTCGACCACGCATACAATTTGCAGCTTGTGGATGCCGTACGCCAAGGGAACTAGCTTGGACGCGCCCCAGACGAGCCCATCGCAGGACACGCTACGGGTGCACTTCTCGAGCTCTTTCATGTCCGTTTCGTCGTCCCACGGCTTGACGTCTAGAACCACGCTGGACTTGGCGATGACTCCGGGTTTCTTGGCCTTCTTGTCCTGGTAGGCCTTGAGCCTCTCCTGGCGGGCCTTTTCGGCTTCTGCGTCGGGCTCGTCGTCGGAGCCGAAGAGGTCGACATCGTCGTCATCATCGTCAACGGGCTTCTTCACTGCCGCCGCGTCGCCTGCCCTGGCGTCTCCGGGGAAAGACGAGTGTTCCTGGGCCGAGAACGACGCCAAGTGCTTGAACCAGCGGACAACGTGGGGGTACTCATCAGCAGACGGTGGCGAGGATCGCGCTTTGAGCGTGTTGTAGGCAACGACATCGTGCTGTGACGGCTGGTAGCCCTCGACGTAGCTTCTTGTCATCAAGTGTTCGTTGAAGGATTTCAACCCGCTGTCGCTTTTGAGGTCTGAGAAGCCCATTTTTGGTGACTTGCCACGAGTCTCGCACTCACACTTCGGCGGCGGGACGAAAAGGAAAAGGGCCGCTCGTGGGTTTCCGGTTTTTGGTGGCCTGTTTTTGTTGAAAAGTTTTTTTTGAAGACGACAGCGCCATTTCTGATTGACAATATATTTGTTTATTGGGACTGGAATAAGAAAATATTACCTTTATTAAACTTTTAGCCCGAATTTATATTTTATGGTAAATTTAATATAATTTCTGGTAGAAACTTTGTAGAAAATACGTATTAACGAAAGGGTCAAAAACAGGCTCATCGCTATCAACCATGTGCTGCATTTAAAGATGGCGTCTCGGAGCGGTTTGAAAGTTTTTGTCGGCAACTTGTCTTGGACTGTTGGGAGAAGTAAGTTGGTAATTACGCTGCCTACATGTGCTCATGGATTGTACGGTTTCCCCCAAAATCGCTTAATAACCTCCGTTGCAAGTAATCGGGACTGTGGGAGGGGGTATGCAGTGTTATTCCAGGTCACGTGCGCACCCCTGCTGCCATGCGCATTTCTTAACATTTGCCGTCTTCCTGCTCTTTAGAATGGGCACTGGATGATCCAAAATTTTTGAGTATTGCTGGGTTAAGAGCTAGTGATTGGGACGCGTGTTCCTATTGCCCGAAAACGCTTTAGATAGGGGCATCGTTCACGCGCAGCTAACGCCAAAAGCCGCCTGAATCGGCAATACAGAAAGGAAAAAAGGTGGAAGACAAAATAATTTATTTTATATTTTTGGATGTGTTTTATTAATTATTTGTTCATATTTATTCTACCTGAAGCTGTGAATATTACCCGTGCACCACGGGGCCTGTTATGGGCAATGACCTTCATGCAATGTGTCAACCCTCAAAGTCGTTTGTGAGCGATTATATTATTTGATCTCTTTACAGGGGAGTTGCGAGACTACTTCTCTCAGTTCGGCTACGTCACCTCGTCTAATGTAGTATTTGTAAGTATATTTGGTTTTCGTTCGTATAAATTAAGACTTTCTAATGGGAATGTAATTTGAGGAATATATAGGCACACCAAAGTTCCAATAATCACAGGTGATCATCTAAGTTCTACCATATGTTAAATGGCACAACTTAGACAACCTGGACAGTTTTTGTGATGTATCGCTGGTCCAGGCCTATCTCCAGAGGAGAAAATAGATATTAAAAGATTTCACGTTCATGCCTCCAACACTGCACATAAACCTGCTTGTTGAAAACCCCTTTGTCCATGGACCACTTGTAGGAACGGTTTGTCAAACAGAGCAATTTGTTCTAGGCCATTTCAGAGAATGGACAACCAGTTAATTAAGCCTAAGAAAATGCAGCACAACATAAAAACTTTTTTCTTTTTTTCTTTTTTTTTAGCTGGAAGGTAGTTATGAGAACTTTTGTAGTACACCAACATAGGTAATAGAAATTTTTAGAATGGGACCCTTAAAATATAGGGGCTCACCACTGCGCATGCACCAAATCCAAACTGTGTTTTGGGTTGGCGCTCACCGATAATGCACACTATGAGAAATAGCATAGGGCCGGGTGTATCGGCAAACATGGTGGCGCCTTTTCTTTTGCTTTGGAAAAAATGCTTCATGGTTGCTGCTGTATTAGCCATGCTCATTGCCAGTGAATAGTGCAGCAGGCTTTCGCTTTATCTCTCTCAAATCACAAAGAATGAGTGTTGAGCTAGCCCCATCTTAAAGATTGTCTTCTTATTCTGGCCATTCCTAAAAGCCTAAAGTAACGCAGTAACCGTTGACATGGCAACAGCTTGCTATTCCAAGACTGAGTGGATTTTCTGGGTTCGATCGGCCAAGCGTTCGTGGCAGGTTGGCCTGTAGCTTAAAAACAAGTCTTCCAAATCGCTTTAGCTTATATCTAAATAAAGCAGCTGCTCGCAGAATACGCTCTCCCGTGTTCATCTCAGTTTCGGCATAGCTGAAGGCCTAAATCTTCGGCGACAGACAGTTAGCACACGAACGACAAAACAATCTGAGTATGAGCACCAAACTAGAGTGCTAAGAATTGAATTGTTTGGCTGAAAATAACTAACAATATTTTCTGCTGATTTTAGATTGTCTTGTTTTAACAGGGTTGACTTGGTTTTACCTTAAATATTATTTATAATCAAAAATTACTTTTTAAAGGGGCCATGAAATTATTTTTTAAACTTCTTCCTTCTTTCCTCCTCAACTCGCAAATCGCACTGCATTACCAAAGGTACAAGGGCCAGAATACACCGCTAGCAGTCCAAGAAGAGGAGCTCTGCTCTTGCTCGCACCTTCCTTTGTTTACCCGCAGGTTGCCGTGGTCGCCCCAGAAGATTATTCTGTCGTTCAAAATTCGGACACAAGTTGCCTTCCCTGCTCTTCCAACCATGACTTCTGCAGTACTGTACGCAACTATCCTTCGTCCACCGCTAAGCTGACAGTGCTGTGGAAGCAATGTGCGCTTTGGGCCATTTACACTCCTATCTTTTGCCACGGGATCACGCATACCCACGCACAGAGAATGGGGTCTGGTGATGAAAGGGAGGTGGCTGATTGGTCCGGCAAGTGTGCAGTTTACCGCACTGTCAGCTTGGGGTGAACAGAGTATAGCGAGGTAATATAGTGACGCAGTGTTCGGGTCCATCATATGAGCCGGGGCCGGCTAACGTTCTTTGGGTACCGTAGATGTACCACAGTGAAAAGGCAGAGAGCATTCGATGGAAAGTAAGTGAGAAATAGTCTGCTGTGCTTTTAAACTTCCAAACCGAAAAGCAAGCACGTGGTGATCGAAGAATCCCTGGAAGTATTCAATGGACCTTTTGCAAAAATATTGGTTCGAGGGTAAATGGTTCTGAACCCTCTCTTTCTTCCTTCTGGCCGAGCAGAGAGGGAAGATGATTTCTTTGTATCGACTTCGGGGCAGAAGATAACTTGCGATGGGGACAAAGGCAAGTTTGGAAGAGCCTTGTCTTGGTCACAGTGGCTCAATGGGCTAACAGGGTGTAGCTGACATTTTGGGTGTCGAGCAGGTGGGAGCGGCCTTGCCCGCATTGTTTTCTAGCCACTTGGTGTCGAGCCCAGTTGCGTGTCTGAGTGGCAGCACATATTTGGCAAAAGGTGGATGATGGGACTGCCTCGCTCTTAGGCGCAGAGCGTGTTCATTGAGGGACATCACTACTGAGGGAGGCTGATGTTTTTAACCACTGCACAGACCGATTCACTCTTTGAGGGAGCTGGAACCAGTTCTCCTTTGCTTGCGTCATGATCAAGAGGGGAGTTGAACTGCTGGGAGGGTTGTAGTCTGCTTCCTCGTTGTCGCTTAGACAATGTCATCGCTTCCATCTTCGGGAGGTATACGTGTCCTATTGGCGACAAGATGTTTTGGTGGCACCACCTTGCGGGCGGCCTCCTGTGACAGAGCTGGTAGGATGCGAGCAGATGACGCGCTATGTCCAAGCATTGAGTGCCTATGTTTGTTTGCATCTATGTCGATTAGAAACGGTTTATTTATGAAAGAAACGTGTATGATGTTCTTGTGAGTGACCTTTCTAATGAATAATAGCGCTTCAAGGTTGCTTTTTATAAGAAAAAATACTTTAAGATGTTCAAAAACAAGCCTGAAGCTTCACATTACAGCTTGTACGGCGTGCATCAGGGCTATTCATAATAGCCTCTTTCATTCTTGTTATTTCTTTTCGGATCTGTGGAGGCTGCTTTAGAAAAAGGTTTTGCATTCACTATAGTAAGTGACGCTGTCTTCTTAGCTGTAACACACACGCACAGATGTGTTGCAAAGTGCCACACACTTGTTTTAGCTACATTGAGCTTGCCGATACCGACGCTTCTATCCAAGTGCGACTCGAGAGTTGCAGACAAAAAAATGCTCGTCAGCAACTGACGCCTAGCTCCTACCGCATTGAATACATGGCAAAGAAGTTTGTCACATCGCGACTTATGATAAAAGGAAAAGCAGAAATCTTTATAAATTCTTAAATTTTCGGCTATGGCCGAGCAAATTCAGGCGACTGATTAATTTGTTATATCAAATTTTACTAAGAATTATCTACAAATTTAAAATCGCTCGGTGAGAAGCGCATCACTCATTATGTGCACTTAGGTCCGCAAAATTAAACATACAAACGATAGTAATTTATAGCAGGTGTAAACCTCATCTTTTGGGACGCTGAAGTGTCACCTACTTACTAGATTTAAGACTTCGATCGTGAGGTGGTCTCACACATTTCGCGTCGACCGGGTGAATTAGCAGGGATTTAGTGAAACGATTTAAAAAGTCAGCCTCCGCTTCTTACTGCCAGGTTTTTTGAGGAAATGTTTGTTTACTGGTTTAGAAAATTCAAAAAGGTGTCAACTTGTAAGTAATAGGAAACCAGCACCCACAGAACACATTGGAACCAACAGGATGCACGGGGTCGCTTTCACTGAAATGTTTACTACAGACGCGAGAGGCTCTCGAATTTCGCTTTCCTATTTTTAATTGGATGAGACATTTCTTTCAAAGTTTTATTTTGTCCGAATTATGATTAAAAACAATACACCCTATTCGCCGTGGTAGATGTTTTAGGTGAAGGTAAAGCGCTGTATATTCTATTTTCATCATCCAGCTTTTTTTTTTACTGGGGTAGAGAACAGCACAACACCATCCGAGTGCTTCAACAGTCGAGCGCCAAAAGTGTTTGTTAACACGACTACACGTGCCATGGTTACAAGCTTCGTTAAAATGTCCTACTACATATATCGCTTGACCAAATAAACTCAACACGTGAAACAGGCTTTGCCGCGCGTTACCCAAACAGCGCATTAAGAGAGCTGATTAGCCGAGGGATCCAACACCTGCGTCGTTTGTCCCAGTCTGTCCTACCTGTGATGTCACAAGCAATGATGATTATAGCTACAGAAGCACCCCGTATAGTTTGCACATGCTGCCGTCTTCTTTCCTTGTAAGTAGCGAGTTTCTAAGACCTACAAAATATAAATGTTATTGTCCAATGAAGCCAAGTGACAAGCTAGAAATATTTGCTTTAGATGAGCCAAAATGCGACATGCAAATCACTGAAGGCCGAGTGTCGCGACAAAGCAAACAGAGCACGTTATTATGTCAAGGGCCTGAGTATAAAAATGAAGTGTGGTTTCTACAGTTAGTTGGGAACACATACAGACTGGAAACAATTTTAAAATGGCACCCTACATATTGATTCACTAGAGGCTGGGTTAGGAATAGGGGGACCGCATACTGTGAAATCTGTCCACCGGCAAAAGCTGTTTATGGCTTGAAGTGCCACTTCGAAGGATGCGTCGCGACTTCGCGACAGTGGGCGCTTATGTCACGACGAATTCGCGACGTGCGTCTATAAAGGGTTAAGCAATTAGTGGACGGTGTTCAAAGAGGAGTTTAGCACCTTGAGGCTTTGCATAAGCAGTGACAAACAAAATGGGTGTGAAGAAAGGTGAGAAATGCAGTCGAGCTGGTGAATGACATTCATAGTAACCCTGAGACATAGGAACATTAAAAAAACGGACGGAACAGCGAAGCCTGTAACACAGCTCGAAATTTATTGAACAACCATCGCCTTATATACATGTCCCAGACCTCTTTCACAGTTTAAACGACCGCCTTGCCCACTACACTGTGTACCCTAGCTAGCTTTCATCCTTATACCGACAACCGCACACATACCTGAATCACGAAAGCATACAAGCCCAAAGCACAAAAGAACACGAAATGGGTGTGCTGCTTTTGTTTTGCACGTGTTACCCTGTTTCCAGAACAGTCTTATTCTCAATGTGCTAGACCCCCACCAGCTTACCTCTATGCTCACCATTACAAAGTTATTATTGTTCAGTTAATCTTCTTCATCAATACAGCCCACCCTATTCAGGGTGGTTACAGGAGTGGAAGGGAAACACGACAACTCGTTTCACGCGTGTTGTGGTTATGGTTCATCTGCCTGTTTCACTTCTTTGGCGCAGAACAAAGAAAATGGAATGTCCAAAGGCTTTGGCTTTGTGGTGTTTGGCAACCGGGACGGCTTCATGAATGCCACTAAGCCGCAGCAGCACGTATTTGAAGGCAACACCGTAAGTCTCGCAGTCACTCTCGGCCTCTTTTGGAACTACTGCCTCATTTAATTGGGACCATTTTGTTGCAGCTCACAGTCCACCCCACCCATGACAGCCGGTGAACCTCGTCTAAACACCTCCTATTACTTGTAGATATGTGAGCCAAATACATTGTTTCAACTCTCATTCCGATTTTTCGCTGCTTTACTTGCGTATAAGGAGGAGGGTAAAGGGTTGTATTTAGGGTTCCATGTTTTAGGTGCAAACCGATTAACCCCGAAAAGTAACTCCTAAGCCGGTTCACTCGCAGTGTAAAAATAACTCCTATTAGGAGCTGACCTTGAATGAGAAAAGAAGAATGAAACTTCACAAAAAAAAACCTTTGCTCTATTTCTATTCTTTATTTTTGTTGACACCGAATGTAGCCCACACAGGGTTTTCTACGACGCTGCATTTTTCTTGCTACATGCAGGCATCGATTTTTGTGGTCCATTTTAGATCGAGCCTGGTGAGTTGGGACACCCTATATATTTGTGATGCCGGTCACTGTTTGTTGTGCAGAAAGTAATATCAAATCTGAGTATACAGTCATACTTGCCAAATTTAATTTTTTCTTAAGGTACAGCTAAAATAGGCATATTGCAAAGTGCCAAAAGCAAGACATTCTTTAGTAAAAGACGGCATTTGCTCGGTAAGGGTATCGTGCGACGGCACTCTAGACGTTTGTTTTATGGGTGTCGATTCTAGTGTGCGTTAATCCCTGGCTCGCATAAAATCCGTAGCTTCAAGCTCGGAGTGTTTTTGTTTGTTATCCTCTAATGTCCTCGCCTCTGTGTGTTTATTTTTTTTTTTTTTTTTTATTTATTTAGCGTAATTTGAAGTCACCGGTACAACCTAGCTCTTGTGTTCTTTTTAAGTAATTTTTTTCGTTGAACCTCAAAGTCTGTCAGTAGTGTTTTTATATTATTGACCCCTACTCTGTGACAGGCACGTTGGGGAACTTTCATTTTGCGATACGGATTTATACTAACGAGTAAGAACTGGAAATATACTCTAGAATGCCAATGAAAATGTTGTAAAAACACAAGGAGACGAACTTCGCCCAACTCACTACAGTCGAAGAAGCAGTTAAGGCATGAAAGTGCCTCCGCAATGTCGAGACCTCGAATAAAATAAGGAACAGTTCAACGACCGATTGTTCTACTTTGCGCGTACCCTCTCATTCATAGTTTAGCTTTCTTTATAATCGGTCTTTTTGTTCGAAATTCGGAAAATATAAAAGTGACCGAGGCAGACAGTTTCAAAATGAGTGTACGAGTGTAGAAGCCATAGATTGAAAAAGCTAAGAAATTCACTCTTAGTAATACGAACTTTAAAGAACAAAACAAAAAACTCCAGATTTATGAAAACGAAAAGTATGCCACGAAATACCAATACCCCCAAAACAAACTCCTCATATACAGAACCCCGATTACAATTGATTCCTGGGGACAATTATTGATGAACGCCTACCTACTGATTCATTAACGTTTGCAATAAATCCAGGCTCTATCTAATTTTGGTACCAGTCAATATTTGGCCGTTTATTTTTCTGGACTTTGCCATTTATCTGTTCCTTCATCTCCCATAGTTTTCGCTATCATCAACTAAACTTAAAAAGACAACTTAGCTCTCGATAGGTAATGCGTGGTGTGTTTGCGGTATTCCAGAGTTCAATAAAAAAACAACCGCATCTCCACGTGGTGAATGATGTTGATTGGGGCGAAGCTCTGGTGGTACTTGTCTGCGTAGACGCTGAGCCGCAGCATGCCGAGCCTTTCGTTCGTTTTCCTCCATGTCACACTGCGGTCAAATGCTCAAATGCGTATATAACCACGTTCCGTACCACACATTCTCTCTCTGACATGGATGAGAACGAACGAAAGGCTCGGCATGCTGCGGCTCAGCGTCTACGCAGACAAGCACCACCAGAGCTTCGCCCCAATCGACATCATTCACCACGTGGAGATGCGGTTGGTGTTTCTTTTTTTTTCTTGCCCTACACGAGCACGGGAGTACGTGCTCACGTGCTCGTGAGCACGAGCACCCGACGCCGGACATCGGACGGACATACGGACATGGCTAGCCCCTAAGGAGCTTCGCCCCTAAAATTAGTTTTAGGGCGCTGTCCGCCTCTGTCTGGGGCTTGCATTCACCTGATCAAATTCAGTTTTATCCGGAAACATCAGTCGTTATACTTAAAATCGGCATATATATAAGGGATCCATTGAGGGCGGATCCTTTTGACAAGCTGGATTTTTAAAGAAGGTCTTTGCTCATGGCGACTGGGACAAGAGTTGCCCGAATAAACACAGACATCAGAAATTACTTTTTTCTTCTTTGCACTAGATGGACTGCCGTGACCAATGACATCATGGAAAAAAAGTTCCTAATATTCTTCGTTATACATGGGTTGCACTGACGTCACGTCGCATATTTTTGGCCTCCATGTAAGAGGAGGAGAGGGAAGCTGCTTTTGTAAGAATTTTGAGTGACGGGCTAATCTTTTATAATCTGGGGGGAGAATAGCGACGACTGTGCCATACCGGGAGCCACAAAAGGGGCCCTGATAAGAGCGGAGCTTCTTCTTGCCCTCCTCTCTGGTGGTCATCGTAGCGACTTTTGAATGACGTCACTTGCAACCCATGTATTTTCCTGGCCCATATCGGCTAACTATATATTAATGAAAGGGAGGAGTAGGTGGCGAGCTCTCAATCATGAGCGCGGGATGTCACGTGTGAAGGCTAATCCAAAGCCGGCAGTGACTGGGCGGTCTCTGACGCCCCTCGAAGCAAAATCCGGGCTACGTGCCTGGGTGGTTAGACTGTATTATGGTCCGCCAGTCACTGACATGGATGAAAACGAACGAAAGGCTCGGCATGCTGCAGCTCAGCGTCTACGCAGACAAGCACCACCAGAGCTTCGCCCCAATCAACATCATTCACCACGTGGAGATGCGGTTGGTGTTTTTCTTGCTACGCCGTTCGCATGCGAGCGTTGTATTTAGTCTACATGCAGGTAACTTACGTGTTGACAACTTGGTGTGTATCTGATTTAGCTGAACTGAATTGTCCAAAAGTGAACGCCGGACTCCCTTTTCCCCATCTAGCCCCCCAACCTCTTCAGAGGGTGATCACCACCACTCATGGCCGGATTGTTTTGTGAATCGTCCGTACAAATGGTGAATAGGGAGTTTTCGTAGATAGTTTCCGCTGTCTCGCAACGTTCTCCGCAACCCGCTACGAGATCCGGGACTCTGCAGGCAAAGCTAGCGTCGCCCATGCGCAGTAGTGGCGTCTTCGTTCCGGAGAGCGTAGCGGAGGTGGGAAAACACTGCGAAAACTCCCTAGTTACAGCGACCCGGGAGCCCCGTTCCCAAAGCCGCCTAGAGCAACAGGCGCGCTCTCCTACGGCCCTCGAATGAGTGGTTGTTTCTCCCATTCCACCGGGCAGCTCGATGTGCTGGCTGAGACCCTACCCTTCCTGCAGCGCTTTAACTCCTTCTGGGGTACCCCATGCTTTTTAAAATTGGCCGCCAGCTTTCTGCCTTTGATAACGCTTCGGCGCACGTGCAGCCAAAATCCGGCGGCCTCAATGCTTGTGTGGCCGTACTGCGCTGGCTGAATTTCTCATCCTCCAAGGACACATCAGACGCCCCGCTTTTCAAACACTACGCCGTTCGCATGCGAGCGTTGCATCCAGTCTACATGCAGGTAACTTACGTGTATTTTTAAATATGCTCACTGTCGTACTGGTATTCCCATTTATTTAAACCCTTACTCATATAAAAACTAAACAAGACCGCCAAGTCGCATTTTATAATAAGTACATCACCGACACTCGAAACTATGAAGTTCAATGCATAACAAAAATTGCGCTTGTTTCTTTTTTTGTGTGTGTTAATTTTTTATATGGTAAACTATTATTAAGATGGCTGCCCCAGCAAACTGTATGTCCCCCCCCCCCCCCCCCCCCCCCCCCCCGCTCACCGACTTCGAATGGATTTACGCCCCTGCACTAGCTAAGCTCTCCCTTTCAAAATAAAAAAAAAAAAAGAACGAATTTTAATTGGTGATAACTTTAAAACCGAAAAGAACTAGCATCCGGTGACTTGCTCGTTGAGGTGGAAAATGGAGCTCTTAGATCGAAGCAAGATCTCTGACTACAAAGTATCCGTCGCTCAACATTGCACCTGGAACAGCTATCGGGAAGTCATCTCGGAGGATGACCTGCCAGAGACTAGCGAAGAGATCTTGGAGGTCCTTTCCGGGCAAGGGGTGGCCTCCATGCGACGAATTTCTATACGCACGGACAGACAGGAGAGATTCGCGAAGCACCTAGTCCTCACCACCGTGCCGCCTGAGAGCATTAAGGCAGGCTGTCTTCACTGTAAGTTACGCCCCTATATACCATACCCTAGGCGATGCCTCAAGTGTCATTGATTTGGTCATATCTAAGTCACCTGTCACGGAAAACGGTTTGCAGTGTGGAGGTACAGACATCCAGCTGACTCGTGCGAGGGTGTCAACTGCTCTGGTGCCCACCCCACGTACTCTCGAACCTGTCCAAAGTTGGAGGATCTTAACCTTCGAGATGAAATAGAACCTCGCTTACCCCGAGGCAAGGAAACAATTTTCCTTTCCCCAAGGAGGCACTTTAGCTGAAGCGGCTTCCAGGAGGACAGTGCCTCCGCTCAAGGCATCGGCGGGCACTCTATAGAATCCTCACGACTTTGAGTGCTTACCCATGCGCCCCAACCTCCAGCGAGGCACCTGTGGGTTCTCATGGCCCCAGCAGCCCCGCTGAAACTCCCACGTACCAAGTCCATAGCTCGTCGTCTTGGTCCTAAGTCTCGAGTGGTGCTGGGCGCCACTCCCTCAGTTCTGTGAGGGGCCTTTTTCTTCCCCTTCACAGCAGGGGGAAGAGACCATGGAGGTATCTGTCGATTCGACAGAATCACCTCTACCTGCCGAGGGGCCACGAAATCTCCCAACAAGGGGGATCAAAAGAAAAACTACCACTCGTCGCTACCCCAACTCACAGAACTTAGGGTTGTGCCCTGCTGGATATTGGAAGCCCACTCACATTGAGAAACATGGTCAAACTCGATGAGCAGTGTGACACCAATGAACGCAATCCGGCATTTG